GTGTTTTCTTGCATAAATGTTGCTCAATGGCCTATATTTCTGCAATCAAAATAATTAAAAAAAAAAAACAATCATTCTTAAAATTACCCGGAAAGGCAGAGTCTGAGTCAAACTGCCTTTAGTCTTGTTTCTTCCTCTGTTAGGTGAAAATACCTGCAGACCTTTCTTATAGTCCATGATACCATCTTAATAGACTTCCAAAAGCTTTTAAAACCTATCCAGCCTGGATTACAGAATGTCAGTGTTAGTAATGTCCTAATGAATAGCAGTGACTTTACCCAGAAAAATAATATATGAGGAGAACATTACTGTTGATTCAAACTGCAATAGCTTGTGACTTACAGTGTCTTAGATATGTTTTAAAATTGTAATTTGTTTTGCATTTTCAGGAATGGTATCACAGTGCTCTGAAAGAGCTGGAGACCAAAGTAAAACACTATACCCCACTGATATGTGAGAAGAAGAAGCCAGTACCATTGAAACAGTATACACCTAAAATTGTGAAAGTGTAAGTAAAGAACACTGGATGCAGAGGAGAAGTGCATTTAAACATAAGAATTTTGGCAAGCTAAAATGGATTTGGAAAACGGGACGCAAAACAGATAACTGTTTTTCTGCTAGATTTTCTGCATAATTCACAGGGGGCCAGCTACTTGGGTGGTAGGAAGGGGGGGAAAAAAGGAAAGAGGAATTTTAAATGCAGATTTTTATCTGTGGGCAAAAATAGCACTGGAAATCAACTCTTGCCCATATAATTGATTGTAAATCAACAAATTTAAAGAGTGCTCTGTCAAGCAGTCAAATCAGAAGAACAAGAGTGAGTAGTTCATGAGTATATGAAATATATGAAGGTAAGAATGGATGGTGAAAGCACTGAGGGATTTTCTGCACCTTAGTGCAAAAAATAAGGCAGTCTGTTCTTGTACTCTGCATCAGATAAATAACCATCAGTCAGATGAAGTGTTCCTTTACTTGCCTACTTCTTTTGTTCCCCCAGCCAAGCAGCTTTCTACCTTCCAACAGCAGCAGTGACAGAAAACGTTGGAGTTTTCCCCCCCTTTTTTCATAGTGCTTGCAATGACCATATGCATTTTTCTGTTCTGTTTTGGAATTAGATTTTAATAACACCAGTTTAGTTTTGTAGATAATAGAAGAGTATTCTGATTCAGGAATTCTGCTTCATACTGGCTCCTGACTTACTTAGCCTTGTTGGTTATCTGCAGGGGCACAAATTGTCTGCTTTATTTACCATAGTAATTGAAGAGGACAGCTTTCCTCTGCCGTACACATTTATCCCCAAGTAACTGATCAGACTTCTTCTGTAAAATGCATTTACAGAGAACACCTGCAAAAATTTCAATACACTGGGAGATTCTGTCTTTTCTCCAGAGATCTTTTGTTCTCCTGCTCTAGCTTTTTCAGTCTGTTAAAGAGCAGGTTGTATATGGGGGGTTGAAGTGTAAATGTTGTCTGCTGGTTGTTGGCATGATGACAATGTGCAGTTAGAAGGTCTGGCAGGTGTTTTTCCAGTATGTTTGTTGGGTGGCTCCTTATTTTGCAAGTTAATTATATAACATGCAGGAATTAAAATACTGAGTTAGCATTCATACAGAAACTTACTCCTTATTAACACGAATAAGTTGTGTTTGTTAAGGTGTTCTTTGCTCACACATACATTCTCATTCCAGCTTAGAGTTTGGAAGAAAGCAGGCAAGCAGCAAGAAGGAGCAAGAAAGAAAGCAGTTGATTCAGAGGCATAAACGTGAACTTAAAGGAGCCATTCGTGAGATTCGGAAGGATAACCAATTTCTGGCCAGAATGCAACTTTCAGAAATCATGGAGAGGTAATGTAGCCGTTGTTTCAGCACCAGTTTGGGGGCTCTTCTGCTGTGTGTTCATTTCTGTGCTGCATGCCAAGGCTGACATTAATGATCAGCCATACTAAACCTAAATAAAATGGGACAATTTGAGGAAAACCAAATCTTTTCCATAGAGATCATTTGAAGTGTTTTCAACTTTGCAGTTTCATTTTTCTAGTTTGAGATGCATAATGTTTTTATTTAAAATACATGTTGGTGAAATTTAATAGTTGTGGGTGTTTTTTTGAATTAATAGTTATTGTCTTAGTGTATTAACTTATTTTCTCTAATACAAACTTACTGATTTTTTTTATATGTTGTTTGTTTTACAGAGATTCAGCCAGAAAAAGAAAAGTGAAAGAGCTTCTTGGTAGCCTTGCTACACAGGAAGGTGAATGGAAAGCAATGAAAAGGAAAAAATGGAAGAATTAAATGGGACTGTATACAGCAGAAAAGTTTGGTTTTACAGTCATAGAAAATACCCCAATCCTATGGCTTTTGAATATATTTTAATTGCATTCTTTGGATGCATTCCTTTTGAGGAGACAACATCATCAGATCTGTCTGAAAACGTGAACCTGCTCATTGGGAAAATCCACAGCTTTTCATAAGGAAAATAAAAATAACACTTTCGTATGTGGCATGCTTCTATTTATTTTAGTAATAATCAGAATTCTTACCTATGTGTGACCAGGTTTTAGACTAACTTGAACTACACTCACACACATTAAAAAATTGTCCAGCAGAAACCTTTTGTTACATCAGGCTGGGGACCAGTCACTAGTGGAGCTCCATTTTAGGGCCAGTTCTCTTCAACACCTTCATAAATGAGTTGTATGCAGGACTTAAAAGGTGTGCTGAGTTTGCTGAAGAACTAAACTGGGAGGAGCTGGTGACTCCCTCGAAGGCAGAGAGGCCCTGAAGAGAGATCAGAGGTTGTCCAAAGGGGGACTACAAAGATGGTGAAGGGCCTTGAGGGGGAGCCATATGAGGAGCAGCTGAGGGCACTTGGTCTGTTTACATGACTTGGAAAGCAGGACTACCTAGTCTTGCTTCAGCTGACTAGTCAATATGGTCTGATAGTTTTGCTGTTGCTGCTCTTATGTGAAAGGAAGGCCTGGTTATTTGAACTACAAAGGGCTTGGACAAGCTTGAGTGTTGGCAGACCCTTTCTCATAAAGTTTCTCTTAATACAACCACATTTATGAGTTGTCTCTTTGTTGCTCTTAAAACGGCTTATCATAACAGGCCTTTTGACACATCTGTTATCAATTATAAATCTGTATTTAATTAGCCGAAAATAGAAACTGTTCTGTAACTACAATCAAGTCATCAGACACGAAAAAGGAAAATTACCTTTTGCCCTTTGTTCAGGTAGGTTATCTGCCACCATCAGCTGTCCCAGAGAATAGCGACCCTGAATAGGAATACTGTAAAGAATGAGGTGAGAACAAAACTGTTCATCTAGAAACTGCATAAATTACCTTATTTATGGCAGCTGGATGCAGTTTGATATTCTCAGTCATGCCTTGCAGAAGTTCTTATCTACCATGGTGTGTCCCTACTCTGTGTCATCCTCCACCTTTCACCATCAGCCACTGTCTGGAGGTACTGAGGCTGCTCTTTCAGATGTTCAAGGTTTTGGACTGGGAAGGGGTGGGTAATGACCTGTCTAGTTCTAGAAACAGTGCAATGTGTTTACATGCAGGATTGTATGACATGGTTGACTGCAGTAACAGAGCTGGGCTCAGTGATCTGCAGAAGCTTTGGGCCAGTAGGTTTAACAACAGGAAGAACAGGATTTTTTTTTATTTTTTTTTTTTATGTATCTGAATTCAGATGGTGCCTCATCAGTTATATGCAATGATTAGGAGCCAGAAGAACACATCTACATATATTTCCCAGACATTAAATGATTATTCCAGTGTAGTCTGGAGCACCACCTCACAGCAGAAGTTTGCCTCCAAATGGGCTGCAATCCTGGCATAATCATTCATTTTTCAGGGTATGTACTGAATGTGCCACATTTAATTTCTCACACCTAATCAATTACATAAAATTCTCAGGTAAACACGAGAGCAGGAGCTCCCTATTTGATCCAACTGGCATGTTAATCCTGATGTTATGCTTACATAAGCTCCTCCAAGTCTAATCAGCTGAGGAACCATGAGAGAGATGTCACTGAGCGGAAGAACTGTATCCAAGTGTTACCTGTACATCCACCCCCTGACACAACTGCGCTGCCTTGGAGGGAACCAGAAGTCTTTTCAACACTTTATTCATTTACTTTATACACCTTGTTGGCAGATTCTTACGTATCCAAGGCTGTGGTGATACATGTGCTCAAGTCCAGTTGTAGCCATATTACTCCCATTTTAATTAGGCAGTTGGACACCAGGCACGGCTGGAGAACGGAACAGTGCTCGATGCTGCTGTCCACATCAAACCTGATATTCACGTTCTCCGGGCTACAGACTTACAGTGTCAAGGGAGCACTTTGGTTTAGGAACAGTTTCATCTTTTGCAACTACTCTGGTCAGATACCAGGAAACTTCCATTCATCTACCTCACAGCTGCTGTAACGTGGCGATGTAGCAACTAACGAAAAAACATCCCTCTCTTACGGGAGCAAGTGTGCCTTCCGTCTTTAAAACTGTCCTTATCGAAGAAGGAAGGGCTGTGGTTTGAGGTGCGCGATGCCCGGTGGGGCGGTCCATTGGCGCGGGCGCGGCTGCCCTGGGTGCGGGTTCAAGCCCCGCGCTGCCAGCGAGCCTCCCGGCGGTCCGGTTCCCCCTCCTCGGCGGGCCCGGGCGCGGACCCGCGGAGCGCTCCATCACCGCCGCGAAAGGAAGCGGCCGGCGCCGCGAAGCCGGGAGAGTCGCGTGCCGCCCGCCTCGCAGACACCCCCAAGGAGAAGCTCCGCCGGCGCGGGGCCCGCTCCGAGCGCCCGGAGCAGCGTAGGGGCCCCCGGCGGGAGGGGGCAGGGAGCGCGGCCAAAGTGGCCGGCGGAACGGGCAGGGGCCCGGAACAGGGGCACCCCAGGTTGCCGGCCCCCCCGGGTGTCCCCGCGGGACTGACCGCGCTCCTCGCGCCGCATCCCTCCGGGGCCGCCCCTTTCCCGCCCGGCGGCCTCGCTTGTCCTCTGCACTTCAGCTGCTCCGGGAAATTGCTTTTTGATTTTTGTTCCCCAGCCCGAGGCGCCTGCCCTTGACCTGGATCAGGGCTGTGTTAAGGAGTCAGAGGAGCCTTCTCGAGGCTCAGCAGGTAAAATCGGGCCCAGGGAATTTCAGAGGGGGAAAAGTGGAGGTAGAGAAAACCCCAGAAGGATGGAAATCTTGCTGCTGGAAGATGACAAATCTCAGTTTGTGCGTTCGGGCAGGGCCAGCTTTGCTGCCGATCCCGTCCCGGGGGCACGGCATCAACCCCCGGACTGACGGAGGTCGGAGGCAGAAGTGATGAGACACAGACGAGGAATCCCGAGGGAAGGCTGAGAAGAGCCGAGGCAGGGCCAGCGAGTGTCAGGGACACACGTGTCCAGAGAAACAACTTCCCTAAACTGAAAATCCTCTACCAGCACGCCTCACAGAAAGCAGATGTCGTGGTGGAGGTGAAGTGTTCTGTTTTTGCTGACAGGATGCCAGGGCCTGTAAAGTGTTTGGTGGTTTCCTGCCTAGCAAAAAATATGGAGAGGTTTGAACAACAAAACTGATGGAGCACAAAGGCAGAAACATGTAGTACCTTGGGATGTTGCGTAAGGGAAATTGCAACCACGTAGCCAGAACTGGAGCAGAATGGAAAGGTCAGTGCAAGCATCGAGTTCAAGCTGCACACTAGCCAAAATGTTCATGAGGGTATGGTGTGAAGGATGTTACCCTCTTCAAATAACCCTGGAATAAAGTTCAGCTTGGTCATACAATTCAGTGGATGAATAAACAAATTGTGAGGATAAACGATTGAATCTCCCATAATGAACCCATCTCTCAGCTGTTGGCTGGGCCAGAGAGCATTTGTTTAAAGAAATGCTTATTTTGGCTCCAGATGCTCTTGGGCAAGCAAATAATGCTGAATATTTGTAGCCATGATGTTTTACCATTTTAAATAAAAGGATCTTGAATGTAAATCTGCCAGTGATCAGACCAGTTTGGTTAAGAGCATTGCGCCAGGAGTTTACTGAGTGGATTGCAGGTGGCCCTCTTCCATGGTTGTTTACCTCATGGCATTTGAACTTTAATAATGGTTCAGGGCTGATAAACTGAATCCACAGGTAAGAAAATGTCACAATAACATTTACTGTTGAGCATGACAAAGTGTTATGACCTTCAATTAGTGTAATATGGTGTTCTATGCACAGCTAAATGTAATATGGTATGTCTGGTCTGGAATAGAATTTATATTAAGAATTGCTCACTGTTTTCACTCCTGACTCATCAAAGTCAATGAATATTTTTGTATTAATTGGCTTTGGATGAAATTCTGTCTCCTTTTTATTCTTTTAGTGTAACAAACATTGAGGGATTTTTGCAGTAGAAGCGACTGCAAATTTCTTTGTTTTATGACTGAGATATCCTGTATTGTTTCATGAGTCTGAAGTTTATGAAGTCCGTGGTTTATGCATTACTCCTGGATTTTGATGTGTGTTGAAATGTTGAAACAGAGTATTCTTTCAGAATAGAGACTGGCTTCTTTATTTGTTAAATACTCAATGATATATGGCCTGCATCCTTCTTTAGGACTTTAAGACAGTTTTGGAGTATTATCAAAGAGAGTTGATAGTTCTGATATTTCTGCCAAAATAAAAATGCTGCCTTAATCGTTTGATGCCCCAACTCATACAGCCTATCAGTGGCTGTCACCTAGAGAAAGAAATACAAAATCAAGTTTCAAAAGGTTCTTGTGTTGTTTCTTAAATTGCTGTTGCTCTCTGGGATTTATCTTGAAGACAGCATTTGTGCAATAGTTAGGAAGCCTGCCTTTTCTTTTTTAAATTTGTTCTTGTTTTGGTCATTTCTCGTATACACTTGAGGCATAAATAAACTATTACTTACTTGAATGTGAATATTTGGAATAGAGTGCCCTTTCTTACCTATTTTTCTGTAATGCTGAGTTGGAAACATTTGGGACCATTGTATAAGCGTTGCTCACATGTCAACAAACTTCAAATGCTCCTTAGTTCTGTGTTTTATTTGAGATTCTCCTATAGTAGAGTTTGTTATTTTACTGCACTTGTAGCCTGTTCTTGATGCAGACTTGGTGCTGAGCTGATAACAAAGACTAGAAAATTGAGGTTCTTGTTCCCTTGAAAACCAGATAGCTTAATATAGCCAGAGCTAATGTTTATTTTTGTGAAGTCTGTAGAAAGCAAGAATGAATCAGCAAGATACTCTTATGAAAGGCCTGCAGAAGGCTTCCTGTTGACTGGATATAAATGTAATTTTTTTTAGAAGCAGAGCACCTGGGAACATGGCCCTGCGAGAGAGAGGAACCAGCACCAGCTCCATGGATGACAAGAAAGGGCAGAACAGTAATCGAGTTATTACAACTGTCTTCCTGGCACTGTTCATCGACTTGTTGGGATTTGCTCTCATCTTGCCACTGTTTCCTTCCATCCTTGATTATTACAGCCAGACTGAGGTAAGGAACAAAGTCAGCCCACAGAAAATGTTAAGTTCTTTAGGGAGGAATGAAAGAAAAATCACTTGCCTTTGGGCAAACCAATTAGCTGTAAGCAGATTAATAATTACCCAGCACATTTAAATGGTTCACGGGCTGAATTTATTTGTGAACCTGCATGAGATTCTTCATTCTTTCTTTTTCATTAAAATGAAGGGTTTGTTTTGAGGAAAATCCAGGTATTTCTCACACTGATGTCAGTGGTGAGACAGTTCATCATGCTGGAGTTTATCTAAGAACCACAGGGACGAGAGCTCTCACCCCTCTTGACACTACCCCTAGTGTTATGTTCCATCTCACCCTTCATCCTTAGCAGGGAGCTGGTTGCTGGTCTGGGAACACAGAGCAGAAAGTCCTGTTGGTTCCCAGCTGTGCTCATTAACACAGGTGTTGCTGCTCAAGATGAAGGTGTTGTCATGGGAGAATTGTTTTTGCAGCCCACACCTACGACTCTCAGCCCCTTTCTAGCCCCACTCCAACTGCAGCTGTAGCTTTTGTCCTTCTTACAGTCCTATCTCTAACCCTAACCATGGGCTCTGATCTCCAGGGTCTTCACCCACTTCCAGTGTATTTCCTATAGCCAAGACCTTCACCTTCTTTTCTGGGCCTCCTTCTTTTCAAGTCGTCCTCCTCTTCTCAAGAACCATTCTTTTTTTTTTTGCATCACCTTTTCTTTCTGGACCTACAGTCCCCTGGTTCTCCCAGACAGAATAATCTATGTGCAGTGGGATAGACTGTGTCTCATTTTGCTTTATTAATTGAAAGATTCAGGGTATGCCTGTTCAGTTCAGGAGTTAGCAAATAGCAAGCCTGATGGTTTAAAAACATTCAAATTCAGACATTCCTCCACCCAAACACATACACCCAACTATCTGCTGCCTGTTAGCATGCACAATTTTAGCTATTTTTAGCCTATGACAACTGATCAGTGAAGAAATTTTCCCTTGTGGGGAGAAGGAGGGAAGGAATCATCTAACATTGCCTCTAGTTTGCTAAGCTCTGATGCTGTCTTTGAAAATAAAACAGAGAGACTGCCTTCCTGCTTCTATTTCCCTCTTGTCTGTTTTTCAGGATGGATTCTATTTGTCATTGCAACGTGGTGTGGACTGGTTTGCAGGGATGGCTGGGATACCTCCAGAGCGGAAATACAACAGTGTCTTGTTTGGAGGTATGGAAATCAAACAAACAGCCAAAAAAAAAGCATTCTTTTGAAGTTGTTTGCAGTGTTGATGTGAAGAATGACAAGAAATACAAAAAGCATACATGCCTGTTATTAGATTTAGATTTAAGTAACAAAGGAAGTGTCTCTTAGACAATAAATGATTTTTTTTTACACCACACTGATAGCAATAAAGAGCTGGGCATCCCCATCTCTGTCATTTGGAGACACTTAGACAGGCAGGAGGAATGGGCTAACAGGAACCTTATGAAATTCAGTAAGGATGAATTTTAAGTCCTACCCATGGGAAAAAGTATTGCTTGCAATGATACAGCCTGGACACTGACTGGTGGGGAGTAGCTCTGCTGTGAAGGCCCTGGTGAGCAGCTGAGCGTGAGCCAGCCCTGGCAGCAAAGGTGCCAAAGCTCCTGGGCTGCCTGAACAGAAGCAGAGTCAGTGGATTAAGGGAAGTGATCACCTGCCTCTACTCAGCACTTGCTAGACCACATCTAGAGCTTGGCATCCAGTTTTGGTCCCCAGTACAAGGAAAGGCATTTATACACTGAGGGGAGTTCAGTGGGGGGCTGTGCAGATGGAAAGTTGGGGCCCTGGATTGCTCAGCAGCTACTGGCAGCCTTCCAGCACCTCTGGGGAGGTCATGGAGAGCCAGGCTCTTCACTGAGGTGTGTGGTGGGAGAAGGAGAGGCAAAGGTATAAGTAGAAGCAGGGGAGGTTCAGACTGGAGATAGGGACGAATGTTTTCACAATGAGGATGGGCAGTGGAACAAGCTGCCCAGAGTGGTTTTTAGTCTCCATCCTCAGAGATTGTCAAACCCTGACTGGGTGGAACCCTGAACAATCTAGTCTGACCTCACAGCTGACCCTAAGAGCAGGCAGTTGGAGTAGGTGACCTCCAGAGGTCCCTTTTAACCTGAATTATCCTATGATCTTGCTCAATTTGCTCTACGGATTGTTACAGAAATACAGGCCTGCTGTTCCTTATTGTCAGACTGCCAGCTGGGGGTCAGGATCCTGCTGTGCTGGGCCTGGTGCAGTCACAAAAATTACTCTCCCTTCACAACTGATATGCACAAGATTGGAGATCAATCAGTAGGAAACAGTGGAAATAGAAACTTGTGAGTTCCAGCCTTGCCTCGCCCTTGGGTGGGTATAGTGCAGCACTGCTTCTAAATCTCATTAGTCCTATTAAAAGCAGCAGAGCTGCTGCCTTGCAGGGTCCAGAAACATTTGCTGTCACTAGGACACTGGTGTGGATGGGCTCCAGCAGGAGAAGGGAGGGAAATCCAGCAGCATATACGTCATGTTACACATCAGAAACTTTTGGCTTCTTGCCATCTAGACAGTTGTGAGGAAACTGTGATTTGAGAGTATGAAGATGTGAGAGTGACTGGGTTAAATTTAGGTAGGCCCTCTGGACCCTCTGCTTTTAGTGAGCTGAGACCTCCCACAAGGTAAATATAAAAATATTTAAAAATAAAACAAACCACAAAACTTCATTAGAATAGGTGTGAATGTATTGTTACTATTTAAAGTTGTTTATTTGGGTATTACAGGCATTGGAAAGTTTATAAGCATTTTTCCTCTTTCCCACCGTTTCCTTGCAGGCATGATTTTGTTTCTGTGCTCATTTTTTAGTCAAAGTACTGGCTTTGAATGCTAAGAAGTAGTTTTCTTTAATCCCTCAGAAGCTGCTTTCTATCTCCTCTAAGGCCTGACTGCAATCCTCCTCTTTGCACCTTCTCACCATCTCAGACTCTGTTTAAACAAGGGGCTGGGAACCCCCAGTGGAGTTCAACTTGTTGTTTTTCTTTTACCTGCCATGTCATATACCCTTCGGAATGGTGTATCCCTTGACTTGGCTCAGTTGCTCTCAAGGGGAACAAGTCTACCTCCCTGCTCATTCCAGAGGAGTCCAGCTGACTCTTTTGCCCTTTGAAGAAAATACAGCATCCAAGTGGGAACATGGCAAATAAAATAGCCACTGCTTGTCTCAGAAAGGAAGTTGGTATCTGTCTTCTCTCTCTAGGAGAAGAGTATTAAGAGAACTTATTTAGAAGCAGTATCAAGTAGGGATGGGACTGTTCACTGCTTACCTGGCAGTCACAGCCAGTGAGGGTGCAGACAAGGTGGCTAAATTAACCTGGTATCTGTCACATTTGGCTTCATCTCTTCTGCTGTCTTTGAGGACAGCTTTTCTTAATGAGCCATTTGATTTGCTAAACCAGCTGAATTTTTCTTCTTTTCTTTTTTTCTGGATTATTTTTCTGCCAGATTGAGTTGAATTAACTCACTGGAGAGTTGACCAAGGCTGCAGAAGCAGGGGAATATGGGCAAGCCATTTTAGTTGTAGTTAGTTCCTGTCTCAGTCTGTCTTGTCTGAATGCACCTTAAATGTCAATAGTGGAAAGTTTAATTATACTTGTGATGTTAAGCAGAGGCTGTTGCAATCTCCTTCAGCCTGTATTCCTTCATTGCCCTCATCTGTCACAAAGAGCATAGGATTGGAAAGGTACTTGCAAGATCATCTCTTTGTTTCTCCCAGTGCAGGATATATTCTTCTTTCCTTCATCTTTTCTTAGACTGCAACCTCTTTAGGTCAGAAACCTTCTCTGCGCACACAAGGCCCTGAGAGCACCATACTTGGTTGCTGTGATTCAGGAGCTGTGTTTCAGCTGGGACCTGGGCCTTGTCTCCAAGGCTGTCTCTGCCCCCATCTCTTGGATGGACCTTGGACTACATTGGAGGTGTCTTGTCCCTCGACAAGTCATCACACTCACATCATAGTCTTGTTTCCACTCCTCTCTCTGCCCCTGGCTCCTGCTGGTCTGGACTGGATTCCCTGGATGGACCTGATGTATAACCCTTGCCTTGCCTGGGACTGTCCGTGGGCCCTGTCAGCAGCACCCTGCTCTGCCCAGCCTGCCCAGCTCATGTGGGACCCAGCCTGGTGAGGGCACTGCCAGTGCCATGGTCACCCTCAGCTCCTGGCTCGTTCCCCCATGTGGAACAGCCCTTTTGCTGCATGCTAGCTTTGAAATATTTGGCATGAGTGGGTGTTTTTACAGTGCTAGAAACACAAGGAAGAGAACTGTCTGCCATAAACTGCCACTGTACCAATCTGTAAGATTTTTTACTTTTTTTTCTAGTTCTGTGTTATCACAAGCAGCTGTTCTCGACAAGGTGCACAGAATCAATACTCTGCCTTCCTCAAAGCTGAAGGGAGCAGAACTTCTGGTCTGTCTCTACTCTGTCTTTTAAATCTTTGATAGCTGAAGGATCTGAGACATATAACCCAGTTTTTCCTTTAGAGAAAAACTGACAGCAAGGCATCTTTTGTCTGCTTGTTGAGAGTGTAGTGCAAATTATTAAGTCTGTGAAGCTAGAAATGGCAAGAGAAAAGAGGAATTAAAGATCACAGGAACTGGAGGCAGATTTCAAAGACTCTTGGAGTCTGTTGGAATCACTTCTACCTCTTAGGGTGCCTCACCAACAGCAGTGCTTAAGTCCTTCTTTCCATGATAAAAAGGAAAGAAAAACTAATTGTGACAGAATCAGGTTCAAATAATCAAAAAAGTCTTAAAAGACCTGTGACTATTAAAGACTGTGTTATCTCTACTTTAAGAACATAAAATATATGTAGTCAGCTGGGGAAGCATTGGAGAATCATCATTCCATTATAATCAGTGAGTTCCAAACCCCTTCTCACCAGTGAAGTAACCAGTAAATCATCCAGTTTATGGCTGTTACTTGGTCTGTTTGGGTATCTGGTCTGTCTGTAATTGTGCCTCAGTTAAGTAACAATGCAAGGTTAGTGTTTTGAGAGCAGCTTAGTTTTAGAGACAAAGCTGTTCTTTATAGCTGCTGTTTTACATTTAATTTCATGTTTCTAAAGGAGATAATCTGATAGGTCTTGAACAGGTTGGCTGTCTTTGTGTTTAAGATGAAGGCAGTAAGTCTAATGATATATAATTTTTTTTTATCTTTTTCTTTTAGGTCTGATTGGCTCAATCTTTTCCATCCTACAGTTTTTCTCCTCTCCCCTCACTGGTGCTGTGTCAGACCACTTGGGCAGAAGGCCTGTCATCTTGATGACAGTGGTAAGTGTCACGTGCTGAGTTCAGTCCTGGTGTCTCAGTACACAGTGCAAGGCACTAAGATCTTGTGGTCAGCACAGAAATTGAACTGTGTTTGAATTGTGACAATCACAATCCAGTTCTAGAATTGAATGTTCTAGGTCTGTTGGTTGCTGACTGTTTCTTGCCAAGTCACTTGGCCAGACTTCCAAACAGAGTGCTTAAGCTGAGCTTCTCAGACCCAGAATTGTACATAGAGGGCATCAAAATACTTACCTGGTTCTGTGGGTTTCGAAAGTCCCTTTACCCTGTATATGGGAGTATGACTTCAGATGCTCTGTTTACAAATGTTAGACTTAATCCCTGTATAGTTTAGCTCCCCAGGTGACTAAAGAGGGCTGATCATTTCATGACCCTTTTCACAGAGCCTGGGATTTGTTGGTTAGGAAGTGCTATACAGCAGTGCAAGACATATTTCTTACGAACATGAACGTTCTCCAAGATGTTTTCTCTGTTGCTGGCCAGAGTATGGGTCTCTAATAGCACAGCAAGTGCATACATAGGTGGTGGAACTTGACTGTGGAGGACATACAAATTACCCATATCCTGTAGGCTTTGGGGAGTTAATTAAATAAGCATTTGTGCTCATGATTGATTATGAAATTTAAGGGCTAGAACTGTGAGTTCTTCTTATTTTGAACTCAAGTTCCTCTTGATGTTGGAAACAAATGGAGTGGGATGTACAAAATGTTTTGTGCCCAGGACTGCTTTAACTTCCACTGAACTTTGCTCTTCTAGTTTTTTTTTGAAATATCACAATTACATGAAGTTTGTATGGATTTGTTTCTACTTCTTTTACATCACTGTTCAGGACACAGTGCAGTTTGAGTGTATTCAGCCATTTCTGTTACGTGGGTTTTGGAGCAGCCATTGAAAACAAACGAAAAAAATTAAATGTTTAGCTGGGAAATGTGCAGAAATTATATATCAGCTTTGCTTTGCTTTATAAAGAACCCTTTCTTGCTTCTGCAGATGGGTTTGATAGCATCATACTCACTATGGGCTGCCTCTAGGACTTTTGGCGTTTTTCTTCTCTCCAGGATCATAGGGGGAATAAGCAAAGGGAATGTCAGCCTCTCCACAGCTATCATTGCTGACTTGCACTCTCCAAAAGCACGGAGCAAGGGCATGGTGAGTTACACTTGTGGGGTATGTGTTTAGGTTTACTAGGTAACTTTTATTAATTTTAAGTGCTCAGTATGTCTTCCTCAGGTGTGTATTCACTGATCAAGTGAAAACATGACTTTTCATACCACCTTGCTTCTGAAAACATGCCAGGTCATATTGCTGAGAGCTCTTGGACTTTGCTTGCCAATGACCTTCACCTACAAGTGAAACACAGATGTTCTGGAGGTGGAAAAACTCTCTCTCTTTAAGTGTTAGAGCTGTTACTCTTGCTTAACTTTAATTCTCATTATAATAGCATTGAAATCAAAAGGTCTTATGGTTCAATTTTGGTAGCTGGAGGCCAGTTACAGAACAACCCATTTTTCTCGCCTTTCCAAACTGTGGAAGCACAGCACCACAGCACAGTGTGCCTCAACACTTCCTTGGATGCTGCACTGGCTTCAGGATCTGAGCTCAGTGGGTAAAGGATGTGACATTTGGCTGACTGAGCAGCAAGGAGTGTGAGCAGCTGCCCTATCCCCTTCCAGAAGGCAGTGGCCCAGATGGAAACACCCTGCAGGCTGAACTTGGCCTGTGAATTACCAGTTATATCTTTTAAAAACCTTGGGGGCCCAAACTTCTCTTAACAGATTGTTATAAGCCACTCTGTGGGACAGCTGCTTCTTGGGAGGAGAAAGCTTTAGATTTCACAGTAATAGCTAATGGATTTTCCAAGCAATTTATTATAGTCCTGGTGAGCCAAAATAAATTTTTATTTGTGGAGAGAGAGAGCCATACAGCATTAGTAAATAAAATGGGTCAGGGCCTATTTTTAGGGCCTGAGAGTAAGTCCCTTAGTACAAGCATGGCTCACATCTGTATGGCTTATATCCTCTTCTTTTCCAAAGCAGAGTAGGCAATGTTTATTCTGCTTTCTGGGAAGCAAATAGCATCTGACTGATGCTGTTCCCAAACCGTGATGGGCCATTGCCTGTTCCTGCCACTTCCTTGACTGGACAGAAAATAAAATCAGTGATTTGGAAAGAACAGGTTTCTCACACTTCATGCTCTTTTCTGTGCCTCCCTACATCATGGGGGTGATTAGGTTCTGTGTCTGGTTGCATTTCTTTTAGGAAAATGTCAGGAAATCCAAATTGTTTTAGAACTGAGCTACCTGAATGGAAAAAATGGTGTCTAAAACTCCATGTCTGTGTTCACTGTATCCCTGCAGGCCATGATTGGTGTTGCCTTCTCCCTTGGTTTTACCCTGGGCCCCATGATCGGTGCTTACCTTGCCATGGAGCCAGAGAAAGGAGAAGTCTTCTATCTCCGATCAGCACTGTTAGCTCTCATGTTTGCTGTGGCTGATTTAGTGTTCATCTTCTTCCTCCTTCCAGAGACACTTCCCAAGGAAAAACGGGTAAATGGACTATCAGTCTCGGGATCTGTGGGGTTTTTTGTAAAAATAGGATTTGAGAATTGTTGAAATACTGGAAACAATGGTTTAGCCAGTATCTCAGAAATTTAGCTCATTCCTGGGATTAGGATTATTATTCGGGCTGGTGTCAAAGTGGTTGCATGGTCATAGAATCATAGAATATTTTGGGTTGGAAGGGACCTTTTTAAAGATCACTAGTTCCAACCCCCCTGGCATGGGCGGGATCACCTTCCACTAGACCAGGTTGATTGAAGCCTCATCCAACCTGGCCTTGGGATGGTCCCATCTCCTAGCCCAGTGTCATATGAGAAGTATAGTTAACATGGCTGCTTAATTGCTAGTTTTGATGTGTTGGGTTTAAATTTCTCAAAACCTAATGCAAGCATGGGAGGGAGACAGTGAAATTTAAACTGTGTTCACAAGGACTCCTTGGGGAGGAATTTCAGCTAATCATAAAAGTAAATAACTGCATGAGAGACTGGATTTTCTTTCTTTTGGCCAGTATATGTTAAAAATTTTCTTAACTATTATTCTTGTCTTTGTTTGAATGACCCTGAGATGAGCTCAGTTGATTAGAGTGTGGTGTTGATAACACCAAGGTTGTGGGTTTGATCCCCATATGGGCCATTCACTTAAGAGCTGGACACGATGATCCTTCTGGGTCCCTTCCAAGTCAGAAGATTTTGTGATTTTTGAATATTTTGAACACTAAAGTAGCAAATTACTTATTTCTGAGCTGTGCTTTCTTCTACAGATATAAAATACCTACATGTGCTAAAATTCAGGGATTATTTGGATTTTTGGGGCCAAAACTCCTGTTATCTCTGGTGTCTAAGCAACACTCAGCTGTTGGAGTATGCTTGGTCTCTGGGTGGCCAAACCCCTTTGACACTGAGAACTGTTCAGGAAATTTTGTCTGCAATGTCCTACCAGGGCACAACTTTAGACCTCCCTTGAATGTTTCCCAGCAGGTTGTGTCTGGTGTGAAGTCAGTTGCTCACATTGTGTTCCCAAGCACTACAGCTATTTTATTTTTTTCTTTTTATCAACTCTTCCATGTGTCATCTGTTCCTCTTTCCTATTTGGCCGTTTCTAAACCTTCTGGATAAAATCCTGTTCTTAGAGCTGCACACTCTGGGGTGGTGGCATCATGTTGAAGTAGGGAAGTGCTGTAGAGCCAATCTTTATTCTATGAACAATTCCTCCCTTGCTGTAGAGTGATTAAATGGCTCCAGTGTCTTTTAGGACTGTGTGATGACTGAATATGTCCCTCCACCTTTTATTTATCCTCTGGAGAGTTCTTCTGATAAGCTGGTCTGTGTTAGCCAACACGACTGAATTTTGGTAAGAAAAGAAGGGCTCTGTTGCTGCTCCTGGGGCTCTGTCCCTGTGCAGCAGTGGGGATTGCACGAGGTGCTGCTCAGGGTCAGGTCCCAGTCACACAAAGTACACGGGGTGTTTGCTTGCTGACAAGAGAGTTGTTTGTCTGGCTTTGGGGCCTCTTGTGATTGATCTCAGGGTTGGTGCTCATGTGCCATCTCTTCTCAGCTTGCAGTGGCCCCATATGATCCACGTGTTCCAGCATATTTGGAATATTGGCTGCTTTGCTCTCTTCTTTGGTAATTACTCTCGCTTTCTGAGTGGGAGGGGAGCAGTTTCCTTGTCCTGTGGATGACAGAGGAAAGGCAGGTGTGTTGGCTGCCTTTCTGGAAGTTGGCTGGGCTGAGCTGGAGCAGGTGCTCCCACAGTATAGGAGTGGAATATGCTGGAAGGACAAAGCTGTAAAAAGAGGGGAAACGCTAATGATAACTGGTAGGAGAGGATGTGCCAGTGGGATCAGACATCTGTTTCCTTGAGATTTGCTGTGTTCTCATTATACCCTTGTTTCTCTGTCAGTCCACTTCTCACAGGAGAGAAGTATTTCACATTGATTCATGTTGGAATTAACCCCTAGAAAGGGAAAGGTGGATGGGCACAGGCAGAACAAGGATGAGAATTTTCACTATCCTCCTTCCTCTTTTTCTCATTTTATCCACGAGTTGACCAGGTAAAGAGAGACCAGAGCTGCACTTTCTACCTGACAGACACTGGCCTTAAGTAAGCTCCTACTGTGGCCTGTTTGGGAGAAGGGAGGACTAGAAAGGTCTCTAGTGGAATCTGTCCCATTTAAGAGCTTTTGAGTTAAATTTTAGCTAAGCTAGTCATGGTCAAGGCTGCTAGTTGGAGGGAGCGTTTTACAACTCTTTTTTTTTGGTGCCCAGGTAATGGTGCAAGGACTGTGTGTAGGGCTATGCAGCATCACTAGCAGACTTGTGGAAAGACAGAGCTGTGCTCTCTGCATACTAAACAGTGTCTGGTTTGGAGGGCAAGGCTGCAGCTTGGAAGGCCCAGGCTACATTCCTGATTTGGACTGACTCTGCCTTCAAGATGTGTTACTGAGTCTCCCTGCATTAGAGGAAAGCAGAATAAACAAAGACACTGTGAAAAAAGTCACCATTCAAGGTGACTTCTAGGGTGATCATGGAGTAAAACTGAGCAATTTGGGAGTAATAAATCATAAGGATAGAAAATAAAAAATTGAATACAAGTTAAATGTTGCAGATTTTGAACCTGCAAAGAATCTAAACTTCATGGAGCTGCTGACATGGACAGCGTGTACTTTATTTGGGGATGATGAAGCTCATTAGTCAGTTTTAGGACAGTGTTTTCATTATCAATCAGTGGATGAAGTTACTTCTAGCCCACTGTTTCTATGGCAAAGAAAGGAGAAACTGAAAGAAATGTAGGTGTGCAAACACACAAACCGCCTATATTAAAAACATCTAATACGTATGCATATATTTCATAAAACACTTAAGATTTTAAATGTATTCACCACACTAAAATCAGCCTTGTAGTACAAAGCAGCTTGGCATCTTGTCTGACATGGATAATAATAATTCAAAACGGGTACAAACTACGGGGGATTTTTATTACTGGCAAACGTGCTTGCAGAGGGTTGCTTGTGACCAGATTCCCTCTGCTATAGTGCAAACAAAGGCTGCAGGAACTGAGGATTGCTACAAGCCAGCTTCAGGAAATCCTCTTACAGACTTTTCAAAAGCAGGGGCAAACTTCTTGGGTGTGTCTGTTTACTCCCTGCAACACACGCAGTGGGAGGGGAAATAAATATCCCTGTGTGTTCTGTGTGGATCAGCAACTTTTATGGCTTTATACAAGCCCAGCCTGGTGTATTGAACTGGCTGCTGTTGTGAGACTAAAGGGCTCCAGAGCTCTGCTGTCAGATACTGAGAAGCTCTGACTATCAGAACAAGACAGGGGTCACGTTAATACCCTATTGAAGGTTGATTTGTTTACAGCTTTGTTAAATCCAGTCCATATGAGTCCTCAGGTCATGCACTGAGATTAAGTTCCACTGATAATTGGACCTTTAATCTCTGCTGTCAAAGGGGTGATAGCTCCCTCCCTCCCTATCTGGGAAGAGAAGGAAGCTCATCAGATAAAGCCTGTGCAGTGCTTTGAAGGTGTGAAATACTACGTGTGATTATTCAGGATTCTTGAGTCTGTCTTATCTCTTCCTGTGACTGCCATGCAAAGTGACAGGCTAAAATCTCCTACTTTAAAAAGGATTGTTTCCTGAAGAATTTAGACGTTATTTCTTTTAGTATTTTCTTCACTTTTCTGTACTTTACATGAAAAATAAACAATTCAAAATTTAAATTCTCTATAGAAGGAAGACTAAGCATCTCCTAAGTGCCTGTGGATATGGAGCAGGGAGAGTGCCATTAGGTGCATAATTAGGTTGAGATGTACAGAGTACAAGGCCCAGAAATGCTATAAAATAAATTTTCCTCTTTAAAAAGCCACACAGTGTGGCTGGGCAGAATCTCTCTGGAAATCTCTCTAAAATATCTCCAAGGAATGTCTCTAAAAATTATATTTTCCTTTTCTTCCCCAGGAGGTGTCACTGGCTGGCTAAAAGAGCAACCAGTACCAAAACAGATTGGTGTTTGATGTGCTGCATATATTGATCTCAGACTTGTAGAACAGGAACAAATCCTCAGCTTCCTGTGAGCTTGCAGGCAGATGTGCCATTATTTTCCCAGTAAATGTTCTCTGGACGTGAGAGATGATGCAAAAGGTGAACCAAATAAAGCCACCTTTGAGGCTGTAGAGCACAAGCCTCTTCTGCCTTATTTAAGAACCTGGAGAAGAATCTGTTTTCTGTCTTCAGTGAAAGGAGCTATCAATGCTCTATCCTTCAATGACAGTGCTGGAGCCAGTTCTGGGGTCAGAAAGTCTGGGTTGTTATTGGGAGCCACTCAAATCCCAATGCCAGGTGCCTTGTTTCATCTCAGATGATTTGTGTAGGGGTAGAAGCACAGCTGACAGTTACTGTCAATTCCTTGCAGTGCTTATTACAGTAGGATTTTAAATAAACCTCTTTCTGCCTTTGATCAGGTCTCTTCTGTGACATCTGGATTTCAGGCAGCAGTCGACTTGCTCAGTCCTTTGGCTTTATTTCAGTTCTCTGCGGTCACCCGAGGAAAGGAATCCCCTTCACAGGAGAGTAAGTGTTACCTGGCTGTTTATAGTAACAGTGTCCCTTTTTGTACTGAAAACTTAAAGGGAAAACTTCACTCAAACCCTTTCAGAAGCAGCACTCTGTTTGCTCACCTGCTTTACTAACTCGGGAACAGGGAATTGAAAGTTCCCTGTTTGGTTGGACTTCGGTGCTGTTATTCCCAAAAGAAGGTTTTGGAGGTTAGTGTTTTGAAGACATGATACTTGCATTTTCTTCAGGCACTGGCAGTAAGTTGTGATTTAAAAGGACAGATTAAAAAGGCATGAGTAAGGGAGATGTGAGTTTTCTTATTCAAGCTGCAAACCAGGAAACTTCAGACTGGAATTTTTTTTCTGAATTCAGGACTTGGAGATGCAGGATTTGCTCCATTCTCTACATGAAATTCTTTAAGCTGTGGAAAATAAATCAGTATTTACCAGGTACACCAACTGATCATTCAACCCTCCTTGCTGCTGCATCAGAAATAGTGTAATATTTGCCTCTTTGGAGAAAACCTGCCAAAGCCTGCATTGGCAGAAAAATAAGTAAGGTAACCTGGCACAGACCATTTGTAGCTTAGAAAAAGGGATAGTGTGCTTCAGTCAGTAACATCCTGAGAGCAGCATCAAGGCACTGGGTGAAATACAGGTGTGGATTAAAGTAAATAAATCAGTCCCTGTGTAGGTGGAGGTGTGAAAATGAGGTAGAGGGGCTGGGCTGGGTGAGTAAGACCAGGGTGACCCAGAGGGAGATCAGTCTTCTTGTCTCTCCTCCCTTCATAAGAAGGGAGCTGTAGTGGGCAGAAGTCATGTTGTGGTGGTGTGTTTTGTATGGATATTTAAAAAGAGCATCTGAGGTGAGAACTTTTCCCTGTACACTTGATAAATGTTGCTCTACTATGGTGGTTATATTCTCAAGCTATGTTTGAAATACACCACAGTGGTTTTCTCCCCCCCTCATTGGTGTTTGGTTTTTTTGTTTGTTTAGATCTTCAGAATCTCAAGATTTTGGGCTTGGCTTATTTCCTGTACCTCTTCCTGTTTTCTGGCTTGGAGTATACACTGAGTTTTCTCACTCACCAGAGATTCCACTTCAGCAGGTAAAGCACACTTGAAATATAAATGTTGTATATTTTGTCTAGGATGTTTTCCAAAATCTTGATTTAAGGTCTCTTCTTGTATTTTCAAGAGAGGCTTTATGACGTTAGTAAAACCACTTAGAAAGCAACTCTTGTGTTCAGTGAAACTTGGGCTTTGTGGGAAGAATTTATGAAAATACAGGCACACTGTTTATCATGAAAGGAAATAATCCACAACCTCTAATAACTAGAGAAAATCAATACACAAAATTAAATTAAAGCTCCTGAAATATGTATAGCTGGGCTAGTTATATTGATTATTGTAAAACCTTTTCTCTTCTTCCTCATTGGAGTTTTTCAGTATCAGGACAAATCTTGAAACTCAAAGAGGCAAATGATGGAGGGATAGCTGTGTGATTTTATTTGCTCATCAGAGTTCTGCATTGCATGTGGTGTACAGTCATGTCACAGAGTTTGATTTCCTTTAGTCAAACACTAGAGAAGAGAACAGAATCCATTAACACCAGCTCAGCTTGAAATACTTTTCCTGTCAGGTCATAGGAAGAATTCCAGCCAGGAACGTGAACTTGCAACTTGATCCCTGTGTGTGTCCTTCCCTTTGAGTAATTCTCAGGGGGTTGTCTCATCTTTCCCTGTCTGTGTTTCATTACAGTTTGTGTCTTAACTAATACATGTGTGCCAAGGAAAGGTTTTCTAGTGTATTGAACTTAGTCCTGCACCGTCCGTTCAGGACAGGCCTTAGTGAGATCCACAGCTGAGCGTCAGCACAGGCTGTGAGACAGCAACCTTGTCATGGAGGTGAGACCTTCTAGTTGAGAATGTCCACACAGCTTAGTACGTGGGAGAGGTGAAAAGGAAAACTGAGGAAATATTGAAGGGTGGAGGGAGTAGTGATGTGACCACCTTCCTGGTGCAGCACATGATCCCCACCAGGCCAGTGCCCACGTTGTGCCTTGGTGACCTTAATCAAGCCCTGCAGGAGTTGCTCCTCAGAAACCAACGACTCCTGTGCATGTGGCACAATTGACGTGGTGACTCTTTGTGGGCCCCCCTAGAAATAGCAAAGTACAGCACAGCAGTCTGGAGGGGCTGCAGCATTTGCCAGCAGTTGTCCCATCCACACGACAAGACTCAGAGGTGTCTCTCCTTGCTGTCTGCCTGCCTTGGAAACCGATGTCAGCACGCCAAGGACCTGCACTCTCGTGAGAGCACCAAAAAGCATTTTCTCTTTCCCTGGTTCAGGGAAGGGTCCTCAGGGGCCCTGTGAATCCCAGGGCGGAATGCTCAGTGCGTGATTCCACAATGTGTGTTTTTGCCTCCCTTCCAGCATGCAGCAGGGCAAGATGTTTTTCTTTATTGGAATAACAATGGCTGTGATCCAGGGAGGCTATGCTCGCCGAATCAAGCCAGGAAATGAAATCAGAGCTGTAAAACGGGTAAAAAAAAATATTTCTATTTCTTTTCCCCCACAAACCTGATTTGTTAATTTTCAGTCTGAGGTGCAGTGGAGGATAGTTGGAGGCTATATAACTGTATTTGTCAAATCAAAAGAAATTTCTGTCTTATCTACCCAGCTAAATGACTTCTCAAGACCATGGGCACTTACCAGTCTAACTAAACCTTGGAGCATTAGACCATTTCTTATCATATCAGCAACAATATTATTGAAACTGTGTGTTCTTCATATTTAATTGCATTAAGGAATGAGAACAGATCATCCATCTGTGCAAGCTACGTAAAATGCTGTGAAGATTATGCTTTGTTTCAGTGACTTCTCTTGCAGTGCAGACATTGAAACTACTAAAGCTGCTTCAGAGCTGGTCTCTGACTCTCTTTCTGGGAAATGATTTTCAGTCTGGCCATCTTCATCCTTGACAGGCTTTCCTTAGAGTGTATTTCACTGGTGGGCAGAGAGAAATAGATTCTTCTTCCAATATCTGATTTGTGACCATCAGTATTACATGTTACAATAGCACGTGCCAGTGTTCAGACCGAACTTTCACTGACAAAAGTGTACATTGCTTTGTTTTGCTTGGCTCTTTCTTCATAGAGATGCTGCAGCTGCTGTATTGGGATGATGGGGAACAGTTTCCTGCAGCTTATACAGCTGTGGGAACAGTAGATATGTCTTGTCCTTTACATTTGTGTGTGGAACTAAACAAAACAGGTTTCAAGTGTTTCTGAACTGCTGGTGACTACCTGGCAAGAGGTTTGCTCAGGCTGTGAAAGCCTCCATCAATGTATAATAATACACTGATGCCTGTGATTTCAACAGTGGAAGGGTAAAAAACGATTTCCAAACTGCACTGCATTCCAGTGGATCGACTCAGCATTTAAAGTTATTTCTGCTGGTGAAACAATCTCCACCCTGCTGCCTGGCAGGAGAAAGTTAATGGCACGTTGCTTGTGTCACACAGGAAGCATTTCCCTGTGATGAACACTCTGTGTTCCTGCTGCTTTATCCTCCTCATCAGCTTCCTACATGTGCTGTGCCAGCCTGCTGCGTTTGCTGGCACTGCACTGCAGTTTGTGCACACTGATTTTGCCCCACTGATTTTATACTCCTTCCTCTTCCCTGCCCTGAGAAGTGTCATCACCTCTGGATGGTGGCTTCTCAAGAACACCCTGTGCCCTGTGCAGAGACCTACTGGCCCTGCACCCTTCTTTCCATGGATGTCAGTGGGTTTTGTGGGAGTTCCCCCTTTTGCTGAAGTTATTCTGGCAATTTGTGAATTTGCAGCATGTGGCAAAAGTGGCCTCTCAGCACAGTGGTTACAGTAGCTCATTTATAACTGAATCTTCAAAATGAGGCACTTAGTGGCAGTGAATACCCTCCTTTATCAAACACGCAGCAGATCTGGCCTGTCTTTTCTGCAGGAGCTCTGTAAGCAAGGGAGACATCACAGAGGAACTGAAGTCCAGCACTTGGAGGAGATGAAGACTGGTTTCTGGGGGGTGTGTTGGGGTGTTGACTTTCAGATGCCATTTTCACCCCACCATTTTTCTTCTTGGCTACAGAAATATGGAATCTGAAAGCTAAAGATAAAATCAGCCAATACTGCTGAGAAAAAGCAGATGAGCTGTGGTCCTGCTGCACACAAGCTTTTTGCTCTCTTGTGCCAGCTCAGGAGATGAAGAGTTAAAGGTAGATTTCTGTCCTGGACAACACAGAACAAGAGAAAAAATCCCCCCCAAACGGTGGATCTGTGATAGACAGAACTTGCATGTGGTCTGCAATCATGTGATAGTGAGAGGGAACAGAAAAGTGCCTTGTGCCGGTGTGTGGCCATCCAGGTGACTTTGAAATGCCTACTTGGGAAGAAAGGCCTTTCTGCTTCTGTGTTGTCCCATCAGCGGAAGAGAACTGGCAGGACACCTAGAGTTAGGCTTTAACAAGCAGGGCTTAGATGTAACCGTGTGACTCATTCATTTTGCAGGCTATTATGTTGCTGATTCCAGCTTTCTTGTTAATTGGATGGGCTGCAAATGTGACCATGCTGAGTGTTGGACTGTTGCTGTACTCCTTCGGTGAGCTGATCAAAAGGCACTCTAAGCACAAAGGATTTTTCTTCCTTATTCACCCTGTTAAAAAAGATGCACTTCTAATTTCAAACTATAAGTAGCAGAAAGCTGATGTTTCTGTTTATGAAATACGGAAGAAACAGTGCCTGTTTTTTCTGTGGTGCTGTTTGTATCACAGGAAGTTGTCATGGTGACACTTGGAAGCATCCCTGGTGCTCCTGTTGTCTTGTCTCACTGGGGAGCTCTTGAGGGTGGTTTTTCCTCCCCTTTTTATCAGACCTGGAAACAAAATATTCACTGAATAGCCCAGCTCAGCTCAGGAAAAGGAGACATCATGTCTTTGTCCCTCCGTGGTGGCTGTGTTATTTCTTAGGCCACTGGCTGGAGACCTGCACATGCTGAGGCTGCAGGTTGGAGTTCAGACTGAGCGAGGGCCAGATAAAGTTAAAGTGTTTAGATAAATGCTACTCTGCCAATCTAAGCTGTTATCCAGGGAAACAGTTATGAGTGAAGCTGGATCCATCTACTGCAGTCCCTGTCTGAAAAGAGATTTCAGGTATTCCCAGTCCTACTAACTATTGTTAAGAAGCTTCAAATATGACTAATTACAAAAGTAGAAGACTTCTCTTTTGCGTGGTACAGCTTGATTTAAGAGCAAACTGTAAACCACAAAATGCATCTATTGAGTAGTTTGTTATTCTATGGCCAGCTGTGTGCTTGACACGTGAGGAGTGAGGGAGGTGTTCATTTTGTCTAACCATGTTTGAGTCTTCCTAGGTGCCCTACTTTGACAAAAAACTCCATCTCTTCCCAGTTAAGCCAGCTAGAAATGCCTCTGTGGGGGGCCCCTTCCCCCTCTCTTCCTCCCTCTGCCCCAGCAGTTGGGGCAGTTAAGGCAACATGTCCATTGTTCCTGCTCTCCAGTTGTCCTTTCCTTCCCAGAAACGACTCTGCTTTGTATGCTTAAGGCGCTTCCCTCTTGGCAGAAAAGCCTCCTATTTCAGTAAGAGGGCAGTGATTGCCGAACAGCTCTTGGATTTTGTGTCCAAAAATTTTGTAACCTTTTCTTCTTGGACGTGACTGTCTTATTTCCCAAGACAGAACGTGGCTGCCTCTCTCATCCCTGAGTACAGTAAAGCTGTGTGCACGGGGACAGTGTCACTCTGGGCACAGCCACCTCACTGTCTGTTTGGAACATGAGCGATTCCCTGCTCCACCTGAGAAGACCAGAGTGCTTTGGAAAACTACCAGTTGGCTGATCTGCCCTGTCCATCCCTGTCCCGTGGGCTCACAGAGTGAGAGTTACTAATGTGAAACATCTGCTCGGAGCACTCCCGGCTCTGGGCTCTTCGTGCAGGTTGGCTTTGAGGGGGTGTTTTCATTATTGGACTGGATTGAACCTGATGACTCAGTGTTGGTCAAATGCCCCAGAGCTCAGCATATTTCTCTGCAGTAGTAACGAGTTTGGGCCACATGTTTTTTTCACTGTTGCTCTTGTAACTGTTCTGAGGTCTGCTGTTCATTAACAGTCTCTTTTGTGGGTTTTTCCAGCTGCAGCCATTGTTATCCCGTGTTTGTCAGCAGTGGTGTCAGGCTATGGTAAGTGTCTTTCCTGCTCTGACTGGCCACCCTTGGCCACATCATTGACCTTTGTTTGGACTTGGCTCAAGTACAGAACTGACCTCAAGTTTAGTTCAGCATCAACAGGATCGCTCGTGGCTTTGGTTCACCTTGGATCCAAGTGTTGGACCCGTGGCCTGGGCTGCTGCTTGGTTTCATAAAAGGCACTTCCCCCAGTGCATTAACAAGGAGAGCAGGAATGCAAACATTCCCCCAGCTGCTGCCCCGTGTTGTACATGTGTAACCCCAAAGCCATGGCCACTCCTGCAGGATGAGGCTACAGCCAGTCACATCCCTGCTGCTCCGTCCCAGCACAGCCAGCAATCCACGGATGTAGTTCCACTAAGCTTGGCTGGGGGGGGGGCAAACCAGCTGTGTTAGGCTGGCAATGCTACAGCCTTTCTCTTCTATGAGTGTCCTTCACAGAAGGGAAGCTCAGTGGAGCTGCTGGGAGATATCCTGACAATATCCTGATCCTGGGAGACTCAGAAACATCCTGCAAGGGAGGGTAGGGGACCCCCAGACAGGCTCGTACTTGTCTCTCAAAACTGACCACACTCCCTGACTGCTTCAGCACTAACAGCAGTGACCTGTTCAGTGACCATCAGCATCACACTAATTTTGTACTGTGTAAAGCAGCTTGTTCCAAGGGGATGGGGAAACTGCAGCAACCTTATTGTTGCTGGTGATTAAGAAGCTGAAGAGTGGGCAGAGGCCACAAACAGCAGTGAGTGGAGAACAGCCTGGGTTCTCTGAAAGAGACACCAGCCATCCCTGCCAGCAGTGAAATCATTTCTTCCTGGTTCCTTAGAAAAGACCTTCCAAGGGACCTTCTGAAACCTTCTGGCATGGGTTGCTATGTAACCTTGTAACGCAGCTGTAGCTGTGTTGCCATCTGTGGATGACACAGTTCTGTAGCTTTGGGTCAGCTGGCTGCCAGCACTGCAGTGCCTGCTGACGTGGAAAACTAAGGCTTTGCTCATTAATGGCATTGACAATTGCTCTTATTTAAATTGCATTCACACTTCCACGTTTCTTGTATACCTGCGCCTCCTCAGAAAATCTTGTGTACAACGTAAAGCTTTTTTTTTTGTTGTTAGGTTCTTTTTTGGTGGGGTGGGGGCAGAATGCACTACAAATTGTCCCTGGACACGCACTTGTGACAAGCCCTGGTGTTTTTTCAACAAAGCAGTCGTGATTGTCTCGGTTGGAGGACAAATAAGCAGAGATTGGGCAGTGGGTGTGAAGTGACGGGAGGGGGAGAAGCACGTGGGAAGTACCTCCAAATGAAAAGGCTCCCAGAGCTACAGCAGTGCCCTGCCCACACACTGTCCCTGTCCCAAGCAGAATGTCCACACAGCGTAACACTCTCCTCGCACAGGCACTGCCAGCCAGAAAGGACGAGTCATGGGGATCCTGAGAAGCCTGGGAGCCCTGGCCAGAGCCCTGGGACCCATCCTGTCGGCTGCAGGTGAGTGTGGCCTCCTGCTCCCTCCCCTCTTTGGCCAGGAAGGGTGGGAAAGGGAGGTGCCAAAAAGCACAGGTAGCCCCTGCATGGGGGTCAGTTCCCTGGGCCACTTAGGGCAGAGGGACAGAGGATGGGGAAGCGGCCACACAGCAACTCAGAGCTTGAAGACTGAGGCAAAGCCAGAACCTGTTTCCTGACTGCAGCCCTTTGCCAAGTAACTGGTGCTCTGGCTCACCCAACCAGGGATTCAGTAATTCTGTGTTCTCTCTGCATTGTGAGAGCAGCAGCTTTGAAGCATTTACACATCTGCAAGGTCAAGGGCACTAACGAGACAATCCCCTTTCCTTTGCAGTTTACTGGCTGGCTGGGGCCGAGATTTGCTTCACTGCCTGTGGAGTTTTGTTCCTTGTCCCCTTTGCTTTACTTGGGTCTATAAAACAGCAGATAAAGGAGGAGTAAGGAAGGAACCACAAAAGTCTCACCAGCTTCCAGGGCCTTCTACAAGACCTGAGTCTTGGCACCCGACCCTGCTGAGCAAATAGGAAGATTTTGATCTTCTGGAAAGAGATACATAATGACTATTTGCAGCAACAACACACAGCAGTTATGTTTAAAGCAGCCCCCCAATCAGGTGGGCTTTGCAAACAGAAAAAAGAAACCAAATCAACTAAACAGAACAAAACAGACACACACACCTCCCCCACAAACAGCTGAGTAAGGCATTAAGATCATCAGAGAAGCAGAGACAGGCACAACAGCAACGGGCCTGGAGCCCTCCCCACTCACCAGGTGCCGTTCCCATGGTCCTGGAGCGCACAGGGGGCTCTGCCCTGCTCCTGCCCCCGAGCAAAGCCTCAGCAGGGGCTCAGCTGGCACAGGAGAAACCCCCAGGGCTGCTCTGACGGGCGGTTTCTGTACAGCAGGTACGAGATCTCTGCAAATGCTGCATCAACGCCTTCAAACGAGATGGTCAAACAAAAGCAAGAAGCACTACAGGCTTCCTGAGCCCCACTGGTACTTTGGCACGGGGCTGTTTTTATTAAACAAATTTGGAGAGATGTTTTATATTTCTAATACTGTGTGATGTTTTTGATGACCAAGCACTGTTCTTTTTGCATTATGAATAAACGGTTACATTGTACAGTCCTATGGTCAGTTAATTACACTTGTTTACACTCATTTAAACTGAACATCCCCTTTTGGTTGAGCCAAAGTGGGTTCAGAACTTCACTGGAGGTGCCGAAGGTCTCCTTGATAGAGCCAACCATGCATGACACCACAGTGCTGACCCCATGATGGGTGCAGGAAGGACCCCTCCACCAGGCTCTGCCTCCTGCTCAGCTGGGACACCCAGGGCAGGGAGCCTTATAGTAGCCAATTTGAGTAATATCTAGAACACATTAAAGCAATCATTAATCAACACATTAATCATTAAGAGAAAACGAACCTAATTAAACAGGCTCCAGCTGTATAATAAAACTGTACAAGTTCTGAAAGCAGAGCATGATTTTGTTTTCAAGAGTTTTATTTGTGAGTAGAACTTAATGATACAAGAAAGAAAAACACAGGACTTTATTCTGCCCTAAAGTGTGTAACCATACCGTACATGACTACATTTCATATTGTAAATACAAAGAACTAAAAGAACAAACTACAAAATTAGAAATTAAGAATCATTGCATATGTGGTCAAGATAAATGGAGGGACTCCAGTAAAGAACTGAAACATACAGCAATTAGTCATTTAGTTACGACCCTGTCATAAAACACAATTTAGCAAAATAAGTGGTGTTTGCTTCCTAGTGTACAAGGACATACAAGGTTAGAGTAGAAGCTGAAAGCCATTCGTGCCATGCAGTCCTGCCTGAGCTCTGCTGTTCCGGGGCTCCTGCCCAGTGCCCGACTGCTCTGTCCCACCTGCCCTCCACCCATCGCACAACAGGCCACGTCACACTTCTCACGGTACCAAGGACCACCTCGAAACCTCTTCTCTCACCTGAAGCCTGACAGCTCTAATTCCACCTCCGGCTGTTGCCCCTCCACTGCCCGAAACCAGCCCGAGGCATCGGCACCTCCCAGCCCAACACAGGCCTTGTGCTGCTCACCCAGAGCTGCCTCCGGCCGCTCCACCCACCCGGCCTTCCGCGCTTTCTGCTGCATGAAAGTAAGGCATTAGTTCTCTGCTATTTTACCAATTGCAACATTTAGTATTGTCCTAAAAGGTTACATCCATGTTCTGTTGTGTTACAGACACTTACTGTGAGTCAGTGTGTTGCCCTCACCCCCATGGGGTGTTGGGATTTGCTGCTGTTAAACCTGAAATGCAAAGTCTAGAAACCAGAAATGGCCACTGACCCCCGGCCCTTGGCCGAGGTGACGGCACACGCTTCCCGGAGAATTCCGCAAGCTTGATCTACCTGATCTTAAACTACTTTTACACTTAGTGATAGACAGAAGCATGGCAATAACTGGGAAACAGTGAACTCAGTGGCGAGAGTGATTTGCCATGCTACACATTTAACAAACATTTATAGCGAACGGTGAAAATACACCTTTAAGGTTATTTGGGATTTCTGTACTTTACTGCTGGCAACAACAACAAAAAGATTTAGAGAAAAGCCAGCTTCTGTAAGATAAAATAATTACTATAAAACAAGGTGAAATACTCAGTGTAATGCATTTACATTTTCATAAGTGGGAAGGAACAAACACAAAAGGCCGCACATGGGGTTCATGCACAGCAGGGTTGCGTGTGCACCAAAGGGATTTTTAAGAGGGTGAAAAAATCCGATGCTAAGGCCCAAAATACACCTGCCCATGCTCCACACCACCAGCTGAAAAACTTCTGAAATACTTTCACTTCAGTTACTTTTTAACCTTTTCTAACAGCCAAATCACCACATGACTCAGGGAGGCAAGAGCAAAAGACAGATTTCCCTTAAACTATAATTCACTAGAAAGAAAATAAACAAACCAAGAATGGGTTCATTGAACACACAATGTGAGCAGAATACACCACAGTCATTTCAGTCCTAGACAAAGATGATTTCACCAGCCAGTTACAAAATAAAACAAAGTGAAAAACACCTTCGTTTTGTTACAACAGTCAGAAGGGAGAGAGAGGAAGCAGTGGAGAGCCTCAAAGCTTGGTCAAAACATGGCCTGTAGTCACAAGCTTGCAGAAGTTTACATGTCAGTTCAAGAATACACCCCCCTTGAGAACACCACTGCAAAAGCATCCTCTCTAAAAGTCAAAATTTAAGAAGAAATTTACTTGTGACTTGGAACAGAATATTGGAAAAGAACACTTCTTGTGGTAAGCAATGGGTGTTTTATTTTTAATTGTGAATTTTTTATATTCTTTTGCAAAGCAGTGCAGGCTTTAAATTAAAAATAGTGAATCAATGCCTTCCATATAGAAGTCGTTTACATTTGATTACAAATTAGGGATCAGATCTGTGGCAGCTGCTGAACACACAGGATTAGCACCTTTTGGGACATTAGTTTCTGGCTATAACCTTAAACAATCAAGCCATAAGTTGAGGGGCTGGTTGGATTACTTGTGGCATTCATTTACATAGTAAGACAAAACACTCAAGTACGATCTGGTACATTCTAGTGGTTAATGGATTTGAAAATATGACAGTGTTTCTGCAGTGGGTTGGCCTTTAGGAGTCACTCTTCTTTTTGCTCTTCTTCAGGAAGGAAGGAGTGCGAAACTTCTTTTTCTTTTTGGATGGGGACTTCCCAGGAGATTCATCACTACCTGCATCAGCTGCTGTCCCCTCCTCAGCTGTTGGTGTTGCTGGCTCTTCAGCAGGTTGGGACTGGGGTTCCTTATTTTCCACTGCAGGTGATTCTGTTTGGCTTTTGGGCACATCTTGGTCACATCTCCCTTCCTCCTTTCCTAAGGGAGGGAAGCCGAGTGCTTCCGAAGGCTCATCAGGGGTGAGATCTGGGAGGGTTTGCTTGAAAGTTGCAGCATCACTGTCATCTCTGTAGGTCTGGTCCTGCCGTGTCTCTGGTGGACGGACAGACAGGGACACAGTCAGTTTAGAAAGTGCCCCTGGAGCGGGGAAAGCGAAGCGAGTGGAGGGTGAGCGCGCTCTATAAAAAACTAATGTATTTACTTTGCATAAAAGCCTTTGTCATAGGGCTGTTCTCCTCCAGCTTCGGGCACGGAAGAAATAAGATATTTCAAAGTTCTGTGTGTTTTTAAGCTCCCAGCACAGAACAGATAAAGCTGAATTCCATCAGCAAGAAAGTAACTGTTCAGACCTCTCTCCTGTTTCACTCATGACATTTGCAAGCAACACAAGACTTTAGTGCAGTAAAGCAGGAATTAAATCCACAGTTTTCACTGGCATTGAATAGAGCTCTATGCAATTCCACACCTTGATTCTTTTTTCTTTTGGTGGGATAAAACTAACTGCTGGTTTGCAGTGATCCAATACACACGAATCCAAGAATGTCTATATTTTTGGCTTGCCAAAATGCAGGGATTTTCACAATATTCTTCCATGAGATCTAACCAATATTGCTTCAAAATATGATTTCCTATGACAAAGGCTTCCCCTTTTTTCGCAAGATATGAGTAAATATTATGGATTCCTCTAAGTAAAATCCGTGTCATTTATCAAATTAAATGAGCTCAGCGGGTTATGCAATACAGCTTGTTTTTTTAATGTATGTGATATCTAACAGCAAAACTCACCCTGTAGAAAGGAACATCAGAAGTCCAGTGGTAACTGTGTGTCCAAAGGGGAACTGAACCACTCCTCCCTCAATTGTAACACCTTCCTCACTCACCGTGGTGCTTTAGGGATGTTCTGTGTAAAGCTGCTCTTTGTGCATGTACTCAACAAGGAGCACTTTGTGGAGTTCCCTGCAGTGTTCCCCACTGCTCCGAGCAGTGTCCCGGGAGCTGAGTCACATCATTCCCATTGATGTTACGTAAGGAGGAATTTAGAACAAAATCCAGGCCATGCTCATTGTGAGGCACAAATGAAAGGCAACTATTTTTGCCCCTCTCAAAATCTTGTTTGTTTTAATTTGAAAAGACTGAAGGCTTTCACAAGAATTTACAGAAAATGCTTGATACTTTCCCATTTTTCCTATGTAAATGACAGCGTTCTTTTTACTTCTGCCAGATAGGATTAATAATACTCTGACAAATTTTAGAGGGTTTTGTTCTGTGAATACCTGCTAGGAAACAAACATGTTTTGCCTAGAGCACCATGAGCTTCTAATAGGTTAAATAAACACCACACAGTAGTATCCAGTGCCAAACACTCGGAATGCACAAGTTAGCAGTTTAAAAGTTATAATGCAGGCAGGATTTAAATCAGAGCGAAAAAGAGAAAGCAGTTATGTACAGTACAAGCTGCCTCCTGAAGCTCTAGTTTAGCCTGTGTATGTATGGGAGACACAAATTCATAAGAAACACCAGCTACAATTCTTCACTACCACTACACTGCTTTTGGATTTCATTTAACTTTTCAGGAATTAACTGAAAGCATTGTTGAGCTCTTCTCCCTGGGATCCAGTGACAGGATGTGTGGGAATGGTTCAGACTGGACTTCAGGAAGCATTTCTTTACTGAGAGGGTGGTCAGACACTGGAACAGACTTCCCAGAGAGGTGGTCGACACCCCAGGTCTGTCAGTGTTTAAGAGGTATTTGCACAGTGCCCTTAATAACATGCTTTACCTTTTGGTCAGCCCTGAATTGGGACAGGCAGTGGGACTAGATGGTCACTGTAGGTCCCTTCCAAGTAAAAATATTATATTCCACTCATTAGTTGGCCCAATTTTTAGAACAGGCACCATACTGGACCATGAGTCAGGTTTTTTTTTTAAGAGAGTTTAGAAGTTTTAAAAAAAGGGATTAGAAATTCCTTCAAAGTAAAGAATAGGAAGCTACAGGCATTCAAACAGCATTTGCCAGCTGGCCTGAGCATTGAATAAATATAAATGGGTTTATAGCTCATTAATACAGGACTGCTATCCTTCCCATCATCCTTATTAAATAGCTTAACATGATGCTGGAATCAAGCAAACATCTGTTTATCTAGCTCGCTGTGGGCAGTATTTTACCAGAATTAGAGAGATTTACAAATTCCACATTCAATGGAGCCAGCATACAACACATAAATGCTCTGCTACTCTACTGGACGGATTTCAGAACTAGGAAGGTTTAAAAAAAATCTCTTGCTGCAAAACCAATTTACAGTTTACCTCAACATTTCTAAAGTTTTTTCAGAATAATCATCTCTATATTCATTTTCTCCCTTCATATGTATACTGTGGTTTAAGTGTTTGAAGCATAACATCAATACTTATGTGTGTTTACAGTTCACATTA